TACATACATGTGTACACAGTATTTACACATATTCACCATTGCATGCCATTTCCCCACCTTCTCCCACCTTATCCTGGTAAGAACCTCCACTAACAGAACCTGTTCTGCCCTCCTGTTCTCTGATTTTGAAAAAAATTGTTTAAGATAGCTTCACATTTCCATGTACATATGTATTATAATCCAAATTTATTAATCTTTATTTTTCTTCTTTCTACCTTAGTCCCCTTTTTATGGGGGCTTCAACAGGTTTAAAAATTCTATACTCATTCTTGTATAGAGAACATCAACCATATTCACCTTCTAATTTCCTTCTTTTGCCCTCCCCCTCTCATATATGACCTCCCCTTAGCCAGACCAGTGTTTCATAATATTGCTTATATTAGGTCTCTATTCTAAATATGACAGAACCTGGCTTTCATCACTTAAGATTATGATCTCCACTTCCAACTATTTACCTGCAAATGACAAAATTTCATTCTTCTTTGTTGTTGAATAAAATTCCATTGTATATGAATGTCAAATTTTCTTAGTCCATTCACCAGTAGTGGGGCATCTTGGCTGTTTCTATAGCTTAGCTATTGTGAATAGTACTGCAACAAACATAGGTGTGTAAGTGCCTTATTGTAAACTGACTTACATTTCTATGGGTACCTTAGAAGTGGAATTACTGGATCATATGGTAGTTCTGTTTGCAGTTTTATGAGGAGCCTCCAGACAGCTTTCCACAGTGGTTGCACTAATTTACATTCCCACCAGCAATGCATGAATGTTCTTTTATCCCCACACCCTCGCCAACATTTGTTGCTGTTTCTATTCTTGATGGTAGCAATTCTACCAGGAGTGATGTAGAATCCTAATGTGGCTTTGATTTGAAATTCATTTATGGCCGCTGATGTTCAACATTTCTTCATTTGTTTTTTAGCCATTTGGACATCTTTCTTTGAAAAAGCTCTGTTCATTTCAGATGCCTACTTCTTTATTGGGTCATTGATTTTTGGGGAGCCTAATTTTATGAACTGCATGTATATATTGATAATTAATCGCTTATCAGATGTATAACTAGCAAAGAGTTTCTCCAATTTTGTGTTTGGCCTCTTCAATTTTAGAGACCATTTCTTTTGTTGTACAAAAGCTTTTTAATTTTGTGTGGTAACATCTGTCAATCCTTTCTCTTAGCTGCTGAGTCATTTGAGTTCTATTTAGGAAGTTATTGCCTATCCCTATTGCTTCCAATGTATGTCCTACTTTTTCTTGCATTAGCCTCAGTGTTTCAGGTGTCATATTGAGGTGTTTAATCCACATCGATTGAAACTTATACAGGATGAAAGACATGGATCTAGTTTCTGTTTTCTCCATGAAAATATCCTGTTTATTGAAGGGCTGTCTTTTCTCCATCATATGTTTTGGAAACTTTGTCAAAACTCAAGTAGGCATAGCTGCATGGATTCATATCTGGGTCTTCTGTACTGATCCACTGGCCTTCATATCTGTTTTTATGCCAGTATCATACTGATTTTATTGTTATGGCTCTGTAGGATAGTGTGAAGTCAGGTATTGTGATACTTCCAGTGTTGCTCTTTTTGCTCATTATTGCCTTGCTCTTTGTGGCCTTTTGTGGTTCCAAATGTAATTCAGGGTTGATTTTTTAATCTCTGTGATGAATGTCATTAAAATTTTGATGGGGATTGCATTGAACATGTAGATTGTTTCTGGTAATATAACCTTTTCCACAATATTGATTCTACCAATCCATGAGCATGGGAGATCTTTTCATCTTCTGTAGTCTTCTTTGATTTCTTTTTTCACTGATTTATAGTTTTCCTTGTAGAGGTCTATCACATCCTTTGTTTAGTTTATTCCTAGGGTTTTTTTTTTTGAGGCTTTTGTAAATGGACTTATTTTCCTATATTCTTTCTCAGTCTGTTCACTGTTGGTGTATAGAAACACTACTGAGTTTTTTAAAATTTTTTTTGCCTCCTGCAACTTTGTCTAAAACTAGTCATGGTGTCTAGGAGTTTTTGAGTAGAATTTTTTTGAGTCTTTTAGGTATAAGATCATGTCATCTACAAATGGGGATAGTTTGACTACTTCCTTTCCAATTTGTATTCCTTTTATTTCTTCTTCCTGTCTTATTGCTCTGGCTATGAATTCCAAGACTATGTTGACTAAGAATAGAGAGAGTTATCACCCTTATCTCATTCCTGACCTTAGTTTTTTCCCATTTAGTATGATTTTGTCCATAGGCTTGTCATATATAACCTTTATTAGGTTGAGGTACATTCCTTCTATTTCTAGTTTCATCAGAGCTTTTATCAATGAAAGGGCAATGGATTTTGTCAAAGGCTTTTGCTGCATCTATGAGATTTTGTCTTTGCTTTTGTTAATATGCTGTATTATACTTAATTATTTCCATATGTTGAACCATCCTGCATTTTTCAGATGAAAATGACTTGATCAAGGTGTATGATCTTTCTGGTATGCTGTTGAATTCAGCTTGCTAATATTTTATTGAGGATTTTTGCATCTATGTTCATTAGAAAGATTACTTGTAATTCTCTATTTTAGTTTTGTCCTTGTCCAGTTTTGGGAGGAGTGTAATACTGGTTTTATAGAATGATTTTGGCACTTTTCTTTCCCTTTCTATTTCAAAAGTGTTGGTATTATTTCTTCTTTAATGGTCTGATAGAATTCAGTGATGTATACATTATGTCCTGGACTTTGTTTTTTGGGAGACTCCTTATTGCTGCTTGATTTCATTGCTTATTATAGATCAGTACAGTGAGTATGGGATAGTCATATGTGTGTAGAAATTTCCTATGTCTTCTAGATTTTCAATTTTTTTTATATAGATTTTCAAATTAGTCCCCAATGATTCCCTGGATTTCCTTGTTATTTGTTATCTCCTCTTTTGCACTTTGAATTTTATTAATTTGGGTCTTTTCCCTCATCATTTTATTCAGAAGTACCAAGGATTTATCAATGTTATTTATCTTCTCAAAGAACTAGATTTTTGTTTTATTGGTTAATTGTATGGCTTTTTGTCTCTATTTCATTGATTTGGACCCTTATTTTTATTATTTTTTTCTGCTTATTTTGGGTTTAGCTTGTTCTTATTTTTCTACCAGTTTGAAATGCAGCATTAGGTCATTTATTTGAGAACTTTCTGTTGTTTTTAATACATATAGTCATGAACAGTTAAAATTTTAATCCTGTAATTTTGACAATTATTAATTGGTAATGTGGGACACAGGACTTCTTTAAAGTTTAGTTGATATTTATCCATTTTAAACTCAATAAAATTAAATAGTGAAGTGCTTAAGGATCAAGACTACGAAGAGGATTTTTTTCCCTCTTTGTTCCATGTGTCTAGAGATTAAACAGTCTAATCCTATTAATATTTTCTTAATTGGAAAACCATATAATTTGTTTTGCTGTGTCATAGATATACTTCTTGTACAACACAAGCTGTTTTGTTATAATAGTTTTTGAAATCTGTGTAGTGTTATCTTGGTAATAATTCTAAATTAAAATATTTTTAAATTGAACTGGGAGTATGAGTACTGCCTTGATACATTTCTTTTCTCCTTCTGTCAATTTGATATTAATAGGTTTAACTCCACCTGGGGGAATTTGCAATAAGAAATAGTATAAATCCAAAAAGAAAAACTCTCTTGACAATATTTGAAGAGGCTTGCCTTTTGCAATCACTTAAAACAGCTTACACAAAAATTATTGCTTCATGTATTTCAGAAGACCAAAAATCATATGTTCTCCCTCATATGCAGACTTTAGATCCAGGGCAAATGCAGCAATGTTGTTGGACTTGGGTCACAAATTAAGGGGAGAGCACATACCAGAGGAATAGGGATAGGGAGAAAACCCCAAACTTGAAAGTGTTTGATGTCCCTACTGCAGAAGAGCTAATACAGTAACCTTGAAATGCCAGAGGTCAACATGGGAAAGTGACCAGAAAGCAGTGAATAGGTCATGTAGAGATGAATCAATTCAGGTTGTAATATACTTGTGCATGGAAGCAATGTTAGGAATCTCTCTGTATAGCTATCCTTATCTCAAGTAGTAAAAAACGCTATGTCTTTCTTATTATTGCTTATGTCTACTCTTCAAAAAAATTGGAGAAAACGGCAGAACTGATTCTGTCTGGAAGCAAGGGGGGTGGGTGGGAATGACAGGGAGGGGTGGGAGGTGGGGGGAGATGGCCCAAACAAGATATGCACATATGAATAAATGCATAAAAAATGAGAACACCTGAATACTGTATAAAGATGCATTTAATTAGTTGATTTTAAAATTAATCTTGCTTGGTTAATATTAGTTAATTATTAACCACCATGAAATATTGACCACCACCATTTTGTTATTTATTTCATTACTATCTCATGCTTATTTTTTGCTTTTATTTTCCAAAAACTTATAAAATGTTTCCTCATTATTGAGACATTAGATATCTCTTACATTTTTAAGATAACTTGGATATAAGGAAAACATTCATTGAAAGTTTTGTGGAATCATTACATCTGCTAATATGCATAGTGAATATAAAATTCAAGTCATAAAGTTACAGTGAAATGTATAATGAATTTAAATGACAGTTGCACATGAGAAAAATTCTGTTTCATAGTGGGTTGTAGGAAGAAGGCAGGAAATTCTAAATTGGTATGTGATGTGAATAATTTAATAATGCAGAACCTAAATAGAAGCAGCAAATAGAAAAGGAGTCAACATATGGAATTATTTCAGTACGATTTGCATGAAATAAAATCTAATGACTGTGTAATCAACTGAGTATATTTGATTATCTCCCAAACTGTGGATCCTGAGCCAATTAGACACATGCTATAGATGGCCGCACATTCTTGTTGTTTCTTCCATTAAGAGTTGTAGGCTAATTCTACTTTCTTTGAACCCAGGTTCCCTTATTTATTATTATTGTTGTTTTTAAATAATTTGTTGTTATTTATTGAATATCCTTCTGTGTGGCTTCAAACCACGAGGGCACAGGTACATGAAAAACCTTTTGTCCTGTCTTCAGCAATTCTGCTTAAAACTTTGTACTTCATGATGACAGGCTGCTCAGGGAGCTTTCTCTTTCCCAGAAGTTTGGAGCAGACTGATTTCACTATATCTATGTTGGGGTTGGCACCAGTCATGTTTTTGGCAGCTTTTCCTCTTGTCTGCTCAATGACCAACAACCTCAATTTGACAAGGTCTATAGCTGTGCAGAAGCTCTGGTTCCTCTTTAAGTGGTAATGCCTCATGCCAACTTTCTTAAATTTGTGGAAATTGATCCTGTGGTGATAAAGGCCACTAGCATTTGCCTGCCTTCTTGGCACTTCCATTGATTGCAAGCAGGACTGTGGCTTTGACTCACCTTGGTCTTGCTCAGTCTGAATGGCATGTTCAGAGCCAAGACAAAACTGGTTCATTGTTTACTTGATCAATTGAATGTATAGGATTGAATTCTGGGATTTCCAAAGTTGTGTTGTAAGAAGTCTTACAATTTCTTTTTCTAAAAAGTAATCTCTCAAGATGCAAGTATGCAAGAAATTTTTTTCAGCAAAATTACTTCTGTAATTTGGTTTTTTTAATTTGCTTTCTTTTGTTTGTTCATTTATTCATATGTGCATACATTGTTTGGGCCATTTCTCCACCCTTTCCCCCTCCTCCACCTTTCCCCCCTCCCCCAGTCAAGTCTGGGCAGGTCTCATTCTGCCCTTATCTCTGATTTTGTTGAAGAAAACACATAAGCATACTAAGGAAGACAAAGCGTTTTTGCAGGTTGAGTTAAGGATAGCTAAACAGAGAGATTTCTACTACTGTTTTCATGTACCCATATGTTACGACCCATGTTGATTCAACTCTAACTTATCTTTGCATTGTCTCCTGATCCCCTGCTCATGATAACCTGTCATTTTAAGGTTTCTATATTAGTTCCTCTTAAGTGGGGATGTCAAACACTTTCATGTTTTGGGTTTTCTACCATAAACAGCAGGATACAAAATCAACTTACAAAAATCATTAGCTTTTCTATACACCAACAATGAACAACTGAGAAGGAATATATGGAAACAGTTCCATTCACAAGCCTCAAACAAAATCAAATATCTAGGTATAAATTTAACAAAGGATGTGAATGACCTCTACAAGGAGAATTACAAACTCCTGAAGAAAAAGATTGAGGAAGACTACAGAAGATAGGAAGATCTCCCATGCTCATGGATTGGTAGAATCAACATAGTAAAAATGGCTATACTCCCAAAAGCAATCTAGGTGTTTAATACATTTTAGTTTTCATAGGAAAGCAAACAGATAAATATTACTTACTATGTTGAAATTGCCTTTTGGCAAACTTATTTATGTTTCTGATTTGCATACATATTTGGTAAATGTAAAAAAAACTTGTAAGTAAAATTTTAATGATGGGGCCATGGAAATAACCTTAATGAATGAAGGGCAAGATATCTAGATATGTTGTTAGGGTCCGAGAATCCTATTCCTCCGAGAGACAGAGAGTCACGCGTGAATGCAATCAACAAAGCAGAGTTTATTGAGCTGGCAAGCCAGGGTCAAGCTCCCACACAGACACACAGGTCCGATTGGGTAGACAAGACCCCGAGCCTCTTTAGGGAAGATCTTATATAGGCCCCTACTGGCCGTTACAGCAAAAGCCCACACAGTACATAGCCAATGAGTTTGTAACACCACATACATTTCCAGTCTATCAATTTAAGAGTACATTACTTCTTAGCCTGTAGATTCAAGGGTCAGTATTTGCGCACGCGGTTACATTTAGCAAGCAGGCAGGGCACATCTTGCACGTACTTCTAGTCGTCTGCTCACATTCCTCACATTCCTCACATTCCACCTGCCCCCATCCTGTTTATCTTATCCTGCACAGGGCATCCTGTGCTGGCTTTACTGGTTTCTGCTATGGGGATCTGCTGGGGCAAAGGGTACATCCTTTCAATGTGTGTGTAATATATGCATGATGGATATATATATTTGTACATGTATGTGTTTGTATGCCCCTATGTCTCTTAATTTGTAACTACAGATTTTACTTATGTATATGGATTTTTTTTGCTTTTGCAGTACTGGAGATCATACATACAGCTTTGCACATGCTAGGAAAGGCACTTTATCACTGAGCCACCTCTAGGCCAATAAGTATATAGCGTTTTTGCTTACTTATTTATTTATTTGTTTTTATTGTGCTGGGTGGGGGTACATTGTGGCATTTATAAATGTTTTTATAATGTATCAAATATATTAATCATTTTAAAACATTTTCTACATTCTGTTTTACTCAATTTCAGAGATATAATTTAAGCAAACATGTATGACTTCATTACCAAATGCTTGAAGATTTTCTAGATATTTTAAGCTAATGGATTTATTTTAATTACATTGTGTTCATATACCCTGAATATGTTAGGACCCGGAATCCTATTCCCCGAGAGACAGAGAGCCAGGCGTGAATGCAATCAACAAAGCAGAGTTTATTGGACTGGCTAGCCAGGGTCGAGCTCCCACACGGACACGCAGGACCGGTTAGGAAAGCAAGACCCTGAGCCTCTTAGGGGGAAATCTTATATAGACTGCAGTGGCGTGCATATTTTTGTTATCAACATTAGACAAGCAGGCAGAGCACATCCTGCACGTACTTCACATCTTGCTCGTACCTCACATCTTGCTCGTATCTCACATCTTGCTCGTATCTCACATCTTGCATTCCTCACATTCTATATGCCCTAACTGAGCCCTGCCTCATTGCTTATCTTATCTACATGGGATGTTTGGTACTGGTTTCTCCAACAAGGGGGTTGGGGCCCGCTGAGACCTCATATTCCTTTCATTCCCCCCTTTCTTATGGCCTAAATTGAGGAATCATCCTCGAGAGGATGAAGAGCCTGATATTGTTGGCGGAGGACCAGAAGTTGGATAGTATTAATTCGACTTTTGACAAAAGTCATAAGTCGGTTTAGAATCCAGGGTCCTATGGTAACAAGCAGTAGGATGATTATTATTGGCCCTGCCAGTGCAGATAAAAGGGTAGCCAACCATGGGGACTGGTTAAACCAAGACTCGAACCAGCTTTCCCCTGCCTCTTTTTCTCGTTTTCTTTGTTCCAGGCTCTTTCGGAGTTTAGACATGGAGTCACGAACAACTCCGGTATGGTCAGCGTAAAAACAACATTCTTCCCCTAGAGCAACACATAGTCCCCCTTTTTGGAGGAACAACAAGTCCAGACCTCGTCGGTTTTGAAGTACTACCTCAGACAGAGAAGTGAGGGATTTTTCTAGGTGGCTAATGGAGGTTTCTATTCTCTCTATATCTTCGTCTATGGCTGCGCGCAGCGAAGACATCCCTTTATGTTGAGTAGCCAGGGAGGCTATGCCGGTCCCTGCCCCAGCCACCCCTAGGCTAAGTAGGGTAGCAATGGTTAGTGTAGAAATAGGCTCTCTCTTCTTTCTCTCACCTGTTCCTATATTCCAGTATGAATATAGACTTTCCTCCGAATGATAGAGGATGCGGGGCAGCACAACCACTATAACACAGAATTCTTTAGAGCTGTTAAACACCTTAGTTGATAGGCATGGGGTGAGTCCGGACCGCGAGCATAGCCACCACCCATTGTCCTTTGGAATTACCCATTTAATAGCATTTCCCCAGGTAGAACTGGCGTTAATAACAGTACATAAGTCCCGTCTGTTCTTTGGCACTTTTCCTAAGCAGGTTCCTTGGCCGTTTACCTGCTGTATGGTCAGACCTCTCTTACGGTCTCCCCAGGAACATTGAGTAGGGTTTTCCTCAGATGAGGTATCGTGAGTGGTGTTTAGCCCTATTGCCTCATAGAATGGGGGCCTCACATCATAACATAACCAACAGGAGTTAGTCATGTTAGGGTTGGTGTGGTTTAACGTCAGGAAGGCAGCACCCACTAGCTCCCAGAGGGGGTCTTTAGATGCGGTCATGAGACTGGGCCTCACCAGGGGAGGGCTGGTTTCTGATGGTCTTGGAGTTGTAACATTAGCCCGAGCTATGGTTGAGGGAAGGTGGTGAGTTGTGGAAGGTTGGGGAGATGGCTTTACATTGGGCGGCCTAAGTACCTTATTGGGGCCTACTGCTGTGGACGGTGGCCCTATGGGCTCAATTTTTAATCTGACCACTATGGTCGAGCCAGCATGTCCACCATATTTATAAAATACAAGTCCCCATACCTTACCTTGTATCCACCCAGGGGTGTCCTTCTTGCCAGTTTCAGTGAAAGTGACCTTGATTCTATCTAGATCCGTGGGCTGGCATTTATGGGTGGGTATTGGAATTCTGTGCCCCCTTAATATCCCATTTACAAAGGCAAATTTGACTAGGTCTGATTTTGATATCCCCCATTTCCATTCACTATCATTGGATGTGACACATGCCCATGACCTACAGAAGGAGTATTGTATCCCCCCACATTCCTGGTTCTTTTTGTGGCCGGGGCAGGCATAAAACCCATAACGTCGGGCTGACTCCGGGGCAGTAGACTTGTAGGCAGGATTGATGTCTCTGAAGCAGAACTGAAGCTCCGGCCACCAAGTTCCTATGGGGGCAGTGCGAGTAGTCTCGTTGAGGGTGGTATGAGTCTCCCCATCGGTGAGTATCCAGGTTTGCTTATAGGGCTGGTGAGGGTTGGTTTCTGCGAGGCTCCCGCTCTGGGCATTGAGCAAGATCAGAGCGATCAGCCACCCCATCCGTGGCTGCTCCTGAAGGCTCTGCATGTTCCCGGGGCCACAAAAGCTTTAGCTTTAATGGGTTGTCTGGGTGCCGCCGTACAGTCCACTCCTTGACCCCTTCTTGTTTTTGATGATTGGCTCGACGCACGTGGGAGTGGTGGATCCAAGGTCCGATGCCATCAACCTTGAGGGCGGTAGGGGTAGTAAACAGTACAACATAAGGTCCTTTCCATCTAGGCTCTAGGGTTTTGGACTGATGCCTTTTAACCCATACCATGTCACCCGGGACTATGCCATGTTCCGGAGCCGGGTCCCTCTTAACAGCGTGGTATGCTTGAATTAAGGGCCAAATCCGTTGTTGCACTTTAGCTAAAGCCTGCAACATGGTCAGGTAATTTGGGGCCAGATCACCTAGTTCTGGGCTTAAGGTCCTCTGAATGATGGGGGGTGGAGCCCCATACAGGATCTCAAAGGGAGTTAGCCCATGGACATAGGGGGAGTTCCGGACTCGGAAGATGGCCAAGGGAAGGAGCGTCACCCAATCACCGCCAGTCTCCAGGGCCAATTTGGCTAAAGTCTCCTTTAGTGTCCTATTCATCCTTTCTACTTGCCCTGAGCTCTGGGGGTTATATTCACAATGTAGCTTCCAATTGGCCCCCATAGTCTGGGCTAGTCCCTGCAGGACCTTACTAACAAAAGCCGGACCG